GAGAAATTCCAAACACTCTCTTTGCTGCTTTTATTCCTGTGAGTATTAATTGTCCTACAGCCTCAGGATACCTAGTAAGAATAGTGTTAGGAGAATAAGATAAATGTATCCATAATAATGGACCTTCTTGCCAACATACTCCTGTAGGAATATTTTTTGTTGGTAGTACAATAAATAATAAAGGCAAACTTATATCAATTCTATCCAAATGCATATTTTCCATATATGTTTCAATGATTTTTAATGTCTTTCTTGCTTCAGGCGTTAACATTCGGGGTGAATTTGGATCTGATGGACCTTTTAGGATATCAAATAAAGGTCCCAACTCTCCTGTTGGTATGCCTAGATAAGGCCTTATCCAATTTATGTCTCCTAATAACTTTTGAAAGTTGTTAAGTGATTTGAGTTGATCTACTCGTATTTGAATTTTTGGTGGACAGACCATGGTCGAGGATAATAGAACTCCTAAATAATTAATTGGAAAATTTAATTGTACTTTATCTATTGCTATCTCTAGATTAACATTTTAGCAATGTGTTTTTATCTTTATGTGCTAATAATACATCGTCCATATAGTGAAATATTTGTAGTTCAGGATTTTGATTTCTAAGTGGCTGGATTGCTTTGTTAACATAAATTTGACACATAGTTGGGCTGTTAGCCATCCCTTGAGGGAGTACTTTCCATTCATATCTCTGATCAAGACCTTCATGATTCAGTGCAGGGATAGTAAATGCAAAACGTGGACTATCCTCAGGATGGATTGGAATTGAAAAAAAAACAATCTTTAATATCTATAACTAAAACATACCAGGTTTTTGGTAAAGCAGACAATTGAGGAATCCCCAATTGAGCAGGTCCCATAATAACCATCTCATTATTAATAGCTCTTAAATCTTGCAATAATCTCCATTTACCAGATTTCTTTTTGATGACAAAAATAGGAGTATTATAGGGAGATACAGAAGGTTGTATATGTCCTTCTGCTAATTGTTGTTTGACCAGGTCATGGGCTGCTTTTATCTTTTCTTTAGTCAGGGGCCACTGAAGAACCCATACTGGTCTTTCTGATTTCCAAGTAATTTTGATTGTCTCAGTGACCCTTCCTGAAAACCTAATCCATGTCTATCTATTTCTTGATCTATTTGTATTGGTGCCACTATACTTTGTCCTTTTTCTCCTAATCCTTTTCCTTTCCTAAAACCTTGTCTAGCCATAATAGTGGGTGCATTTGGATTGATGTTATTTGTTAATGTTAGTCCTAATTGATCTAGGACATCTTGTCCCCATAAATTTATAGGAAGATGATCCAATACATATGGCTGTATAGTTCCTTCACATCCTTCAGGATCCTTCCAATCTAATACCATCACACTTCTATGGGGATTAGTTGCCACTCCTAGGCCTCGAAGCATTTGAGTGGCTTGTTGTAATGGCCAATGTTTTGGCCATTATTGACGAGAGATAATGTTAAGGTCTGCACCTGTATCCAGTAGCCCATTAAATTCATGTCCTTGAATATTTAGTTTTAGCATGAGGCGAGAATCTAAATTTAAAGAAAGCATAGCCCAATCTACACCTGTGGAGCCTAATCCCCTGGAACCTCTTTCTATAGTACGACTGGAAAATTTATCATGCAGGCTGGGTATTATTAATAACTGTGCTATTCTATCTCCTGGTGAAATTACTGATATACCTCTTGGAGAACTAGCTATAATTTTTATTTCACCTTCATAATCGGGATCAATTACCCCAGGACTTATCATAGGTCCTTTTAGAGTAGAAGAACTGCGTCCTAATAGTAAGCCTACTGTTCCTTGGGGAAGGGGTCCTTTTACCCCTGTGGGAATGATTTGAACTCCCATCTCTGGAGTTAGTACTGCTCTGGTGGAGGCACAGATGTCCAACCCTTCGCTCCCTCTGGTTTGTCTAATGAGGGATTTAATGGACAATGTATCCTGGGCACTACCCTTATGGTGTTGCTGGGTTCCTCCAATGCCCCATATATTTGTGATCGTGGGCCCCGGAGCATTGGGCCCCCCTGTCCGATTTTTGGCAATGGAGCCCAATGTTTTTCTCCATGATATCGTGGTAAACACCTGGTTCTTGTCTGTTTTTTGATAACGGAGTACCCTCTATAGTGGTTTGAGAACGGCATTCATTAGCCCAATATCTCCCTCTATGGCATCATGGGCAAATACCTGGTATTCTACCCCTTTGATACCTAGTTTTGTTAAACCCTCCTCCTATGGGGCAATTCCTTTTAAAATGTCCTGTTTGTTCACATTTGTAGCATGTTTTTGGCCTGGCACCTAAAGCCTGTTGTACTGCAGCTGCCAAGACTTCCCCTGTTCATTAATGTCTCTACATAATTTAATATATGTGTTTAAATCTCCATGTTTCCATGGTCTAATGGCCTCCCTGCACCATCTATTTGCTTGTTCGTAGGCTAGTTGTTTTATTAATGGCATCGCTTGTTCTACATCCCCCAAAACTCTGGTAGCTGTTTGAATAAGCCTGTCTACAAATTCAGCGTAAGGTTCATTAGCTCCTTGTATTACCTTAGATAATTGACCTTGTAAATCTCCATGCCCCTGTAAAGTTTTCCATGCCCTAACCGCAGCTGAAGCAATTTGTGAGTATATGGTAGGATTATATCTAATTTGTTGCAGCTGACCCTCATTAGGTCCCTCTCCTAACAACATATCTAGATTTCTCTGAGGATAACCAGCTGCTGCATTTCGCCTAGCCGTCTTCATGCAAAATTCCTCATTGGCAACCTTCCATAACAGGTATTGTCCTCCATTTAGCACAGCTTTGCACATACTAGCCCAATCCGCTGGCGTCATGTTCAAGTTGGTAATGGATTTGACCATGCTTACAGTGAAGGGTGCTTGAGGACCATAGGTTGTTACAGCCTCTTTCAGCTGCTTCACTGTTTTGAAATCTAAAGCATGGTGAATTCGCTGCCCTCCTGCCTGCTCAAATACAGGGCATGCTAATCTTTGAGGTCCTATCTCAGGATCCCATCTATCAACTACAGAGGTTGAGGGCCACTCAGCATATGTTGTCTCTGTATACATAGGTGGAGCTGTTGGTTGAATACTTACGCCCTCTGGTGATAGAAAGGTGTTAGTAGCAACCTCCCGTTGTAACTTCTCCCCTGATAGCCTTTCCTTCTCTAAACTTTCTTCCCCTGTCTGACTAACTCAAGAGACTTCCTCTTTTACTTGATCTAAAATGTCTTCTTGACTAAGCAAACAAGATTGTACCAATGTCCATAATGGTAATGTGCCAACTGGCAGAGTTCCTGGGCTTTCCTTTTCTATCCTTTTGAAATCTTCACCATGATGGTTCCATTGTGATATATTTAACAACCCCTCTTTAATGAACCATGGGCTACAACTTTGTATCGTCTTAACGTATGCCCTAACTGTTCTTGATTTTACTGAGATGCCTCCTTTTTCTAGCAATTTACTTAACACCCTTTCGGTTTGGTTTTTACTAATTTTTAATTCCATATTTCTGCTATAAAGATAACACAACCCAACAAGATAACACAAAACAAACCCGAAACAAAACGGAACAAAAATTCGTTGTATCAGTTTTTCTATTTTCTTGACATGTGTATCCGTGGTCTATCTCTATCTCTTCCTCAGGGCTGAACAACATTTCTAGCATCCTATTTATTTCTAGGGGCAGGCAGCTTGAAACAGAAACGTAACAAATCAAAACAAGAACACATCGTTTTTTGAAATGGTCACCCATTCTCTCGCCCTGCCCTCAGGGGCGAGCAGTTTCACTTACCCCCAATCTTCAGGTGTTCCCTGCACGGGCCACCAAATGCCACAGTCTGGCTGGGCACAAAATAACCAGGAGGTCACCAGCCACTTGTAGGTTCAAACAGGAACTACTTTAATGCCCGAACTCCACGGGAACACAACCGGAACTCCACCGAAAAACCATGAGAACCAACGGGAACTCCGTGAGAACTCAATGGAAACTCAAAAGTAGCGGGCACCCGAGGTAGCAAGAGCCGCCCCACTGCCAGACAGCAGAGGTTTATATACACAACTGAATACACAGCCTATTTCGATCTAGCATCATCCAGTTACAGCAATCAGTCATCATCTTAATAACTATACATAGCTTAACTTAATTATCATCATCCCAATGACTCGCTGGCGCCACCTCTCAACCACTCCTTCTGGCAAAATGCCAGGCGCCATCCCGACTTGGTTGTGGCTCTCGACACCTAGTGACATCAAGCATTGTTTGTCATCTCTATTTCCTTAAAACCAAAAGATCATCTTGCTCATGGTGGTTCCTAGATTAGTACTTGCCCCTCAAGTGAATTTAGCCAAGCAGTTGTTTATAGAGGTACAGTGAAGTGAGATAGTCAGGTGTTCTCTGTCCTACCAAAATTCTTATGTTGGAACTTAGCCACTAAGTTGACAGTATGAAGATGAAGGTTTTTTGGTGGTAGTTAGGTAATGAGGACTCACCTTCACTAATAAGTTACATGTCATTATAAACCAGGTTTGGGGTAGTTTGTCCTTATAGCCAGGTGCAGACACAGCAATAGGAACCAGCCCTGAGCAGAAGATCCCCTTTGCCAGACCATGTATGAACTGACTCTTTGATCTTGAACTTCAGGTGGCAGAACTGTAAGTCACTTGTGTGTGCTTTCATGCATCATGCACTCTAGTGTATTCTATTTTTCATATTGAAAAAATAACATAGTAGGTCTTTTGGCTTTGCTTGAGATAGCAAGAAGTTCCCATAAATATTCAAGATAACAAAAAAGAGGAAACAGTAGCTTTGTGAGACAGAAAAAACTCATTGAGAATCATTCCTGCTATGAATTCATCAATTCACTGTCTACCGCAACAGGAAGGAAAATTTGGCTAAGGTTGTCCAGTAAAATTCTATGAGGGTGCCTGGGAGCAAGAGAGAATTACTGACCCAGGACTGATGACACTCTGCATTTCTCACCAGACATGGACCAGTGTGTGAAGTGTCCAGCTCATCAGTATGACAACACGGAGCAAAACACCTGTCTCCAAAAGGCTGTGACCTTCCTGGCCTATGAAGACCCCTTGGGCATGGCTCTGGCCTGCACGGCTCTCTGCTTCTCTGCACTCACAGCTGCTGTCCTTGGGGTCTTTGTGAAGCACAGAGACACCCCCATAGTCAAGGCCAACAACAGGGCTCTCAGCTCCATCCTGCTCATCTCCCTCACCTTCTGTTTTCTCTGCTCTCTGCTCTTCATTGGCCGTCCCGGCACAGCCACCTGCATCCTGCAGGAGACCACATTTGGACTGGTGTTCACTGTGGCCGTTTCCACGGTCCTGGCCAAAACTGTCACTGTGATTCTGGCCTTCAACGTCACTGCCCCAGGGAGAAGGATGAGGCGGTGCCTGGTGTCAGGGGCACCTAACTTCATCATTCCCAGCTGCTCCCTCATCCAGCTGACTCTCTGTGGAGTCTGGCTGGGGACCTCTCCTCCCTTTGTGGACACAGACACACACTCTGAACATGGCTGCATCATCATCACGTGCAACAAGGGCTCAGTCATTGCCTTCTACTGTGCCCTGGGATACCTGGGCTCCCTGGTCCTGGGAACCTTCACGGTGGCCTTCCTGGCCAGGAACCTGCCTGACACCTTCAATGAAGCCAAGTTCCTGACCTTCAGCATGCTGGTGTTCTGCAGTGTCTGGCTCACCTTCCTCCCTGTGTACCACAGCACCAACGGCAAGGTCATGGTGGCTGTGGAGGTCTTCTCCATCTTGGCCTCCAGCGCAGGGCTCCTGGGCTGCATCTTTGCCCCCAAGTGCTACATAATTCTCATAAGACCTGACAAGAACTCTCTGAAAGGTTTGAAGGACAGAAGTTCAATGGGAAATAGGCATTCTGAAAGTTAGCTCAGATGTCTCTGTTACATTTTAACAGTTCTGGGAAAGCACAGCAAAACCAACTGACTTTGCATTTCTGATCTTATACAGTAAGTAGAGCCACTTAATTTTTTCATCAACAAGATCTGTCTCCTTTTCAAAAAGAGTGTTGCATAAAAGTAACCACAAGCAGCCGTTTAGGTTCCCAAACAGAATATTATCTCAGTGTAGTGGCTATTCCTAAATAGGTTTACTTAGAATTATTTGATGTATTTAGTTTATTTATTTGCCAACTGTAAAGATTAATGTTTAGATAAAATGTGTAATATTTAATGCTGATTTTCTGCTGTCCTGTGTGTGTGTATGTGTGTGTATCAATGTAAGTTCTGTAAAGTATTCACTATTTTTTCTGAGTGCATTTTTCTTTTACACCTATAGAATACATTATCCAAAGCTTCTTTTTCTCACTTCTTTATGTTTTTATTCATGCACTAGAGTCACACCTATGTTGGGGCTCATTTGGACATACTCATACATGGAAGGAATATAACTTGCTTCATTTCAGTCCCCAGTACCTCCTCTTTCCTTTCCCTCCTGTCTCCCCATTTCCCTTCCTCTATTCTCCTGGTCTTCTTGCTTTATATCTATAGATTTTTCTAATTAGTGCTTTATAGATACACATAAAGGTGGAACTCTGTGGCGTATTCGTGTATGTACATAGCACCATGTGGTCCATTTCGCTCCACCAGTCCTCCCCATCCCCTTGCTCTGCTCCACTGACCTCTCTTTTCTTTTCATGGGACTCTCCCAACTCCTCTTCCCCTTAGGTTGACCTAGCTTCTGCACATAAAGAAAACATTCGACCCTGCCTTTCTGGGTCTGGCTCATTTCACGAGGTGGGATGTTCTCCTGCTAGAGATGTCAGCGGCATCTGTCCCTCTCTTCTTTAAGAAGAAGTGTCTGCCTGGGCTTCTGCAGGCTTGGGTTGTGGCTCGAACTGGATTTCATACTCCTAGAGCTGAGACTGCAGCTCAGAGGCAGCGCACCTGCCCAGTAAACATACGTTGGATCCTTAGCACTGGAAGCAAAAAAAGAGAAAGAGAAAACAACATGTTTTAGTAGAAAAAAATAAACTTTAAAATAGAAATAGGAAATGATCATGTTAAATGAAATAAACCAGACTCAGAAGCACAAGTGTCACATGTTTTCAGTCATATGAGGAAGTGGAGGAAGGGAAATGAAGAGGACATGAGCATGTGGAAGGGACACTGTTAGTGCAGAGGGAGGCGATCCCAGGAGGGTGCGTCAGGGGAGATTGTCAAGGGAGATTCTCCAGTGACGACAGCTGACAACCCACCTACTACATTCTTTATGGAGAAATGGTCAGGAGGAGCGCAAATGCTCCAAACATGAGGAAATGATGAGAAGGTAGCAATGCTAAGTACTCTGAGTTGGCCATTACCCATCGTGCACACGAATGGAATTATTACTATGCCCCACAATATATACAGTCATTACATCTCAGTTGGAAAGAAGAAAAATTCAAATAACTAAAATTGCATAAAGTAATCAAAAATCTTTTCATGAAACTCAAGATCAACCATCAGACTTCTTCCAAATAATTATTAAAATGAAAAACAATAATAGAAAGAGAAAACCTACAGAATGACAAAAAACTCAGAAATGTCACCCCAATGCAATATGTTCACTGTATTTGAGTCCTAACACAAGCAAAACTAAGTGAGGAAATATAAGAAATTTGTTAAAATTAGTATAAGAAATGACTATGTGATGGTATTACGGAATTACTGAGTTTTTATGTGCGATAGTGTTTTGTGATTATATGAGGAAAAAGTCTGGGTAAAAACTCAGTTATATTTATACAAAGTAGGGTACTTAGAGGTGAGATATTAGAAAAAAGGATGATTCTGCAAGTCCCAGGTTAAGAATCAGGAATAGGCAATGCAGTTCTCGTTAAGGCATAAGGTTCATGTGAAAGGAGAGACGCTCCCCTGGGGCCAGGTGTGGAAGAGGCTTTAATGCCAACCTAAGAGTGGGTGCCCGGGCTTCAACTGGACGGGAATTGTATGTGAATATCAAGGGTGATGTTGCACATGACAACTGCATGCAAAATGCAAATGTAAAACCAGACAAGTGGGATAATATCAAACTAACAGGCTTCTGCACATCAAAGGAAGCAATTAGCAGAGAGAAGAGGCAACCTGCAGAAGGGAAGAAAGCATTTACCAAGTGTTGTCTGACAAAGAACTAACATCAGAGATCCACAGGAATAAAAAACAGAACAGCCAACACTCTAATCATCTGACTAAAATGGGTAAATGACCTGCAGAGACATTTCTCAAAAGATGATACACAGAGGTCAAAGGACATGACACCAGAGTGTCAAAGAGACACCTGTACTCCAATGTTGATTGGAAACTGTCCACCACAGTTAAGATATAGAATCAAGCAAAGGATCTGGGGACAGACAAATGGATAAGAAAATGTGGTATATACACACAGAAGAATATTATTTATCCAAAAAAAAGAATAAAAGAGAGTCATTTGTGGTACCATGGATGGCGCTGGGGACATTTTATTCAGTGAAATTAGCCAGGAACAGAAAGGCGAACATCAGATATTCATAGGTGGGAGCTAAAAATGTTGATTTCTTAGAAGTAGAGAGTGAAATGGTGGTCACTAGAGTTCTCCCAATAGTGGGAAGAAGGGGAAGAGGACGGTAGGTGATGAGTACCAAAATCCAGCTAGATAGGCAAAGTCGGAACAAGTGTTCCTCAGACCAGCAGGTGACTACAGTGAGAACACTGTGGCATATTGACAAAGAACTAGAAAAGGGGTGATTAAAGGTTCCCAACACAAAGGCATAGGATGTCTGAGGAGATGCAAAAGCTAATTATTCTGATTATACATATACATTGAGTTATCACACTCAACCATATAAATATGTACGATAATACTTTTAACAAAGAGCTAAAAAAACAAAAACAAAAGAGAAAAAATGAAATGAGAAATTAAACAACAGCAAACTAAGAAGAGCTTCAGGCATGAAAAATTATCTTCCATTAATTTTTTGTTTTTGAATTCTCTTTCCTTTGTTATTATTTCCTATAGCAACTTATTTCAGTGCTTGGAACCACTCAACATAACTTCTGTTTTTCTCATTTTCCTTGAGCTTTTCATATCTTTCTCACTCTTGGATATGTTCTTGGAAAATTCCTTGCTCTTCTTTACAGTTTGCTAATTCTCTAATTCCAATGTACAGTTCTGGTTCTGGGATTATTTCTATGAAATTTTAGCCTTTATTTCTATTCGTATGCCTTTTTTTAAGGCTAGTATAAGTGTCTTTATTTAAAGAGTAAAAATTTATGCAAATTCTTCTTCCCTTATACAAAAGACAGAATATTTTTTCCTGGCAATAGTGAAATATTGAAGTGTTAATACTTTAATACACTTTAGGTCTGAATACATTGTTAGTCACAGGTTTGTTTTGCATTTATGAATTTTAAAATATTTTTGTGCTATTTCAAAGATATACTTGTTCTTTATTGAAGAGGCAGGAGCTTAAAGTTAATGTAAAAAATAGCATATATCACCAAAAACACTTGGAGGCATAACCGTTTAAAAAATTTCATTATGAGTATCACCAATAATCTGGGATAAAACAACTGAAATTTTTTTCCAACCCAGTTTACATGGATTGATTCCAAATGATTATGGGATCATTTGATTCAAGTAAAAGTTCCTTCCTTAGCAATCCTGCTTAATTTATTTGATTTTTTTCCACCATCAACACAGACTTTCAGGCTTCAGTTAGCAAGATAATGTATGTGAGTTGTCAATTCTCATGCCTTTTTATTTCATTTTTTTAAGTATCACCTGGAAACTTTTCTTGATTTGAATTAGGCTTGATTTCTCTTAACCCATTTGATTCTCATATTTCACAAACTTTTTCTTAGTAATTTAAATATAATTCACTGAGCGCAGTGGTACCCATCTATAATGCCAATAGCTTGGGGGGCTGAAGCTAGAGGATCAGAAGTTTAAAGCCAGCCTCAGCAACTAGCGAGGCCCTAATCAATTTATCAAGACCGTGGCTCAAAATAAAAAAACAAAACCTGCTGGGATGTGGTTCAGGAGTTGAGTGCCTCTGCATTCAACCTGGGTTACCCCACCCTCCCAAAATTTTTATATACACACACCCATATTATGTAAATTAATTATATATGTACTTATATGTGTGTGTATATAATTCATGTAAATTAGTTTAGAGAATGTCTAATTGGTTGTTTTCTTGATGAGGGAAATGGTCTCACTGTCAATCCCCAACCTTTCCTTTTGTCAGGGATCCTCATGTGAGTGGCAATCCCTTTCCTTCTCTTTTCTCATTGGGGCCTGGGGATGGAGCCCATGCACATGCCAGGCATCTGCTCTGCCCCTGAGCTACCCCTCTGGCCCTGTGCGCTGACATGCCTATTGGCTGCCATGGGTGAAGACTTTTCTCCCTTCTCCTAGGATTCACTCTTCCTATCTAGCAAACTCCAATGTCTGAGTCCCTGTCCCCAGTTTCTCACAATATTGATAGGCTTCCTGGTGCCACAGACTTTCTAGTCTTCATGAAAGAAGGCCCTGTGTGGGGGTTTCCAGTGGTAAAAGTGTGATCAGGGGGAAACCTGGCTCTTCTCACAGGTTTCCATAAACCTCTGGCCTTGTGTCTGAAGAACAGAACAGGGGTGTTTACACCTCAAAGGGGAGAAATCAGACTCCTAGGGGTAGTTATTTATAATCCAAAAGGTAGAGGCCTATGGTTAACTAGATTTCCTGAGAAAAGGCTGCAGAAGGGGAGGGGAGCTAAGCCTTTTCCCAGGCACCAGTTTTTCTTACAATTTCATTTTACAACCAGGTTTGCTTTTGCCATCACACTACCCCTCTCAGACCACGTTCATCGTCCTACACGGACACAACTTCCTCTACAGGCTGTGCCAATGTGAGAAGGCTCATCTGCACACTCTCTCAGTCAGTAGCGTGAATACTCCGGAGCCCTGCAGCAAGGATCAGGTTCTGACTGGGAAGGTGGAAATAAGACAGTTTACACATGAAATGCAGGGCTGCGCCCCAGCTATCATCCTGGTCGAATATAAGCATAACTAATACATGAACCCGAAGTCATAGCTGTAGAAATGGATCATGATGATACATTGAACCATGGGAAATGGGGTAGAGGAGTGGAAGTTGCATTTGAGAATCCAAACATGCGAGGTGGCTTCTGCATTGGCTCTGAGGCTCTGGCTCGGAAGGCCTGGATTCAGCGTGAGTACTGGCTCCACAGGCAACGAGGAGCACACGCACTCATGGGGGTTCTGCACGTGGGACTGGTGTGCAGACACGCTGGGCCACACAGGGGATGTTCAAACAGCAACTCTTTATTCCCGAACTCACACCAGCTGTCTACAGTCACGTTCTGGGGAAATCCACGTTCTCTGCCCAAATCCACGTTCTCTGCCCAAATTCACCTCCACTGGGCTTCTGTCTCCCAAAATATACTGTCTGAATCCCGTGAGAACTCAAGGGGAACTCAGGCAGCAGGATACGCCCTATTCCCAGCAGGAATAATCTTAAACCTTAAACCTGGAACCTAAACTGGGAACTCCCTAATCCGCCTTGGTCCTTGAGCAAGGTCACCTACATTCAATGTCACTGCAACATGGGGTACGCTGGCAAGGAAATTGTCATACCTACTTGGCTAATGGCTCCCAGCAGCTGCCCCTCCCATCTTGGGCAGTGGGGGACGCCATGCAATGCCTGAATATTTCTGAGGAGCCCTGCCTGGCGTGCGCCCTCTGACCTTCCTCCTCACCTCTTGCTTGGCCTCCTCTGGGGCAATCCACTTTCATCACTGCAACTGGAATTGGTGCAAAGGGTCCTTGACCCAGGCTTGGGACCAAGTCTTCCCAAAGGGATTTGTCCCTGGGGCCTTGCTGTCTGTGGACGTGGATGAACTCATGGCACCTGCGGGTGGAGAGGGTGATACACATGTTTTCCAACTTGTGTTTTTCACCTGGACAAGGACCTCAGATGCTAGCTCCAGGGCAGAAGGTGTTCCCGATTCCTCCAGGGAAGAAAGGAGTTGGGGCACAAGAGTGGCCTCTCCACCCAACACCCTAACAAGCCCTCAGAGACCCAGGCACCTGCCCCTGTGGCGGATGTACAGCTGGCTGACCTCCGTGGCACCTCAGGTCCCCTCTGCTGGGCTCAGGGCTTGGCAGACACTTCTGAGATGCTGGCCTTGATTTGTGTCTCCTTGGTCCTAAAGCTCCCCCTCCTCTCCTGCACTTCCACCTCTCTTCAGTGCTTACTGAGAAAGAAACACAAGGTGTCCAAGGATGGGGACATGGGGATCGGGGGTTCTTCCCCCTGTTCACATACCAGAACAACAAAGACGCCCGTGGGCCTGGCCAGACCATCCTCTCCCTGCAGTAAGTGCTGTTTCCTCTCCTTCTCTTTCTGAGTGTTTATCAGGATGAGTGGTGCCCAGGAGTCTGGAAGGATAGAGCCGTTCTCTCTCCTGCTCTTCCCAACCCACCACCCAGGACACACTGGGATTATTTTCTTTTCCTGCTGAGTACTTTCCCCCTTTCAAAGATGCGAGGGGGTAGAGGTGTTTTTGTTCCTGTTAGTTCCCCTTTTCATGCCTGGCAGGTGACAGGGACAGCAGTCTCCACCTTGGTTCATCATCTCTGTCCCTCCTGAGAGCTTCCAGGACATGGAGTCAAGTGACATCCCTTAGAAAAGCAGCCCAAGTCCTGGCCTGGGCTCAGCACTAAGACACTGCCATAAACTGTCACTTCCACAGAGCAGAGGGTCTGCTGAGGCTTCTTCCCTCAGCATATAGTCCCTGACACCCCTACAGGGGGCCTCTGGTGTTCATTCCCCATCTGCTCAGGCAGACTTCCTACTGGGAATGTTTCTTTCAAATCATTTCTCCTTGCCTCTTGGAGCTGAAGTCAGGCCAGCAAGAAGACACACACCATCCGTGAGATTTTACTCTGTTCCCGTTTGAATCTTCTTCACTTGGACACATGCACACCCTCAGGTCATCAATGTCAGTGATAATGTAGTTAGATATTTATTTATAAATGAATGAAGCAGGGTTGGGGATGTGGCTCAAGCGGTAATGCGCTCGCCTGGCATGCGCAGGGCGCTGGGTTTGATCCTCAGCACCACATAAAAATAAAATAAAGATGTTGTGTCCACCGAAAACTGAAAAATAAATATTTAAAAAATTCTCTCTCTCTCTCTCTTTAAAAAAAATAAATGAATGAAGCAGAATTCAGGAGTTTCCAAGATCCACTTGCTAATGTGCTAATATACACACTTGGATGCGGATGGTTGCAGCTGATTGTAGATTCTGAGCTAGGGTCAGGTCTGTAGGATTTGGAATTTGAATGAGGAAGTTTGTGCTTGAATCGCCCGGGAGCCATTCAGGGGACGTTCGTAAATTAAACTTTTCGAGGATGACAACACTGACTCTTCAAGAGGGGTCATTGCCATAGGTGTAGGACACTACAATGGGGTTTCCATCCAGGGAGGGGTCAGGCCAACTCTGAATACACTACAGGAGAACTGAACCCACAGCCCAGGAGCAGACCCATGGTCAGCGGACAGAGAGTGACTGAGGGGAACAGGAGCAGGGTGGTCCCTGGGTGAACAGAACGGCAGGGGTCTGTGTGGAAAGCTGGGCAGGGTGAATACACAGCACTCTGGGGAGCTGGAGGGAGCTGGATGAGGAGCTGACGGGATCCTAGGGGTGGCCAGCCGTCTGAGGTGCTCAGCCGACATGGCCAGATTCTCGCTGAAGGGAACAGTGAGGAGATGGACACAGAAGTCCAGACATTAAGTCTGAGCTGACAAAGAATCAAGGGGAGGATGACGGAATTTAGTCCAAGAGCAAATCATTGTCAGGGCTGAAGGCAAGACATGTCCTATGTCCCCACAGCCTGGGTAGCCTGAGTGTAGAGGGAGACTTGGTCTCTCTCCACAGGAGACAAGGCCAGGCCACCTTGCTCTGTCCCCTGCTCTCCACCCTCCTAGCTCAGAGTTCAGTGAGCCTCAGCAGGTGGCTCTCTCAGACCACAGCCTGGAAACCCTCCCGGGCCTGAAGGACCCTCCATGCCACCAGGTGACCTTCATGCCCTGCAGAGGTGTCCTAGCATAGGAGTCAGGGGCCCAGGAGAATGCTGAAGGAAACAGATGTGACTTAGGGCAGGGACCTGCTTTCAGGCATATTTAGCATACTTCTCTTTATCAACACCACGGCGAAATATAGGGTGTCCTCCACTTCAGTGAAGGAAAGGCCGAGTAGGCCCGAGTGCCTCAGACCCACAGAAGTCATAACCTGGCCCTGGCCTCGTGCTGTATTTTTCTCCACATAAATATGTCACAGAGTGGGATTATTGTCTCAACCCCTCTTTAACCTTTTTTCCTTCCATAACAAAACATTGGAAGTGTGTTTGTATTGACGTGAGCTCTTCATATTCCTGTGTAGTGCCTGCATAATCCTATGCATCACACAGGGCTAGCAAAATGCTCTTTCAGGACAGTATTTGGATGATCATAATTTCCCACTTGTTTTCTTGTTTCATTTAGTGTCCTTATGTACACAGCAGATGGACGATGGACACTTGGGGTTTGGGGAATATTTTATGAATAAAAACATTTTCAATGGTTCATTGTAGTTACACATGGCTGAAGGGAACAGTGAGGAGATGGACACAGAAGTCCAGACATTAAGTCTGAGCTGACAAAGAATCAAGGGGAGGATGACGGAATTTAGTCCAAGAGCAAATCATTGTCAGGGCTGAACGCAAGGCATGTCCTATGTCCCCACAGCCTGGGTAGCCTGAGTGTAGAGGGAGACTTGGTCTCTCTCCACAGAAGACAAGGCCAGGCCACGTTGCTCTGTCCCCTGCATTTCGACATAGTTCCAGAAGCAAGGACTATGTCTTGTTCTACTGCAGACCCCAGCACCTCCCCTTCCTCTGCCCATCCCTGCCCCCTGCTCCCTCCCTCAATTGATCTGTCTGCCATTTATCCATAGTTTTTCTAACAAAAATTAATTTCTTCATAGATTCTAGCGCATATATCTGAAGAGTCTGATTAAAGCTAATGTATGTGTGGGAGTAAAATAGCTGGGTACAAGGCTATATTTCGTTTTCTTGCATTGACAAATCATAATTTCATATTTTTGGGGAGCAAAAAGTGATGTTTTCATGTATGTATATAATGGGGGATGATCAGATCAAACTAAATCATGTATTCCTCACCTAAAATAATTATCGTTTTTGTCGAAGATTAATTATGTTTGAAAATATTATTAGCCTTTTGCTAAAGAACCCTCTGGAGTGGTCAGCGCCCTTCAGAAGAGCATTGTTTCCTTGGTCTCCTTGTTCATATTTCCTTCACCTTGAATGAAAAATTAGGGGGCCTCATTTGATGTGTACAACTATTTTCTCATTGGTCATACTTACAATGATCTATTAATGGTTGTAATGGTCCTATTTATAACGTCTTCTGAAGCATTCAGTGGCTTTCTTCGTGCTGATGTATCCATTCAAGTGCAGGCATTTTATTTTTTGAAGAACACTGTGCATTTCGAGGAGAACCTGTGTTGGTTGTTAAGTACTGTAAACGTGTCTGGGCTGTTGCTTCTCTAAGCGTCCTGAATGTGGTACGTCTAAAGGATAAAAGCACTTGAACTTTCAGGCAGCGTGGAGTCTCATCATCTTTCATTTCATTGTGTCTGCCCTTCAGCCACAGGTCCCCCGTCTGTAAGGGCATTAACGGACATGGCTGAGTCTAGTACTTTATTTCCTTTCCCATGAGAGTCAATATGCATCCTAGATGAGTCAATACACCTACCTTTAGGTTCCCTGATTATTTTCTTTCACCGTCAGGGGGTATTTTATTATTTCTCTACTGATTTTAGTACAGTCTTTGTGATGCACAAACACTTATACCCAGGTTACTCCTCCATTTTCTCTTTTATCCTGATCATCTGTCTGTATCTTCTGGTAAATCACCATCATTTAACAATATTCTAGTTACTTAGCAGTGAATATTAACTGTGTGAAAGTCACATTCTTTCCTTATTACTTTGAATACTTTTCATTCCTTTTCTAAACTTTTCAATGTTACTATAATAATACCTTTCAACTAATTTTGTCAGCACTATTTAAAAACAAATTCTTGCAACTTTGGATTTGCTTTAAATTTGGTAGCACTTGGGGCAATGTTGATATCTATGCAACATTGTTTTTAATGTGCCTTTATATTCTTTGGTAGAATGTTCCATTTTCCCCCAAGGCAACTGCTGTTTGGTCTCCTCCTAACACTTTCCATCATTGCTGTTATTTTGAAAAGTCACTGATAATTGGTATTTACTATGTACTTGGTTAGATACTGCATTTCTCCATTGGTCATAGGATTTCTTCACCAGGCATTTTCCAGGTGAACAAATGCTCTGCCTATTCCTCTCCTCCAGTCTTCTTTCGTCTGCTATTTTATGGCATATTCAATAGCTTAGGAATCCCAGTCAAGAACTAAACAACCTGGTCCTACTAGAAATTCTTTGTCTGGTTTTATGGAAATGTGCTGGACAGGTTGTTTAACCATCTCATCCCACTGCAGCCAGAGGAGCTGGTGCGGCATCCACAGCGTAGGACGCGGTGTTCACAGCTGCAGATCTGCCCAGGGTAGGGAGCCTGCCTGTGCAGAGCACCCTGCAGAGTGTGACCTGCATCCGCCATCGCGCTCCTATAGTTGTCACTCATGGAACCTCTAAGAGGTTTTATTTGAAAGAGGTTTAGGTTTTATTTTATGTTTCATTTTTAATTGGAAAATAATACTATATATGTTTATGGGTGTGATGCAGCATTTTGACACGTGATGTCATCATGGAGTGATTATATCAAGCCATTAACTATCATCTCAGCTACTTCTTGACAGGGATGCACTACGAAGGGCTACTATCTGTGTTTTGTTTTTTGAACTAATGTCAAGGAAGTGTCTTCTGGCAAAACTAATGTTTCCTCAGAAATGGATGTTTAATTTTATGAAATGCTTTATATGCTTCGATGAATGCAGTGTAGTTTGCTGTGAGGTGTTTGTTTTCGTTTTTTGCCTTGCAGAAATATAGACATTTAATGTAAGGATTTAAAAAATCATCTAATATCCCATTTGGAATGAGTCTTTGCTCATATTTTCTGTTGGATATTTGTAAGGAGTACAGGTGAGTTTTTAAAATACAGACATGTTTCTTATTTTTTTACTTTCTGTTTTATTTAAGAGTTTCCTGGTAGAGTGATTATCTGTTCGCAAGTTGCAGATATAATTTATCTGTAAATCCATTCAGTCCTGATGTATATTTGGACTTTTATTTCCTAAAGCATCTGTGGGAACCATGCAGCACTATTCGTGTCATGCACTCTAGTTCATATTTCAGTATATGCAGGTTACTATATTTTCCTTTGAAAAGAAAGAAAAAATCCTTTTTTCCTGAAATCAAAGGAATGATTTTCAATGACCTGTATCACTTCACTCATAATCTCTGCCTTTTATAAAATGTTGCTAATGTTTTTTCCTACAGCAGTTTTCCTCATTCGACCCATCGCATTCGTGTCTACCTGTGCATCTCTCTGAGGTGCCAGATCTGCTGTTTATTTTTCTTTTGGACCCACTGGAGGTATCCCCCCACCTCTTCACTTTCATCTGCATTCTTATTCTCAACTATTTCCTGCATATTTTTCTTCTCTTTCACTCATGTTTAATTCACATTCGTGTGTTCTTTTTTTTACCTTCTGTTCAAGAAATTTAATGCTGAGACTCCCTCTCTTCAAGCAGATGTTCTCATCCGCCTCAGACCTCCCCTCCCTCTCTGTCTCCGTAACTGGCTATGACTTTCGAATCGTTGGTTTCGTTTCCTTTCAAAATAATTTCATGAAGATGATTTTTGGTTTGTACACTGACCTGCTAAAAATATTTTCCGTATTTAATGAGAAGTTTCCTTAGTGTGTGGTTTAACAAACTGAATTTCAAATGTGCCTGCTCACTGTATTTCTGTGCTGACCCAAGATCTCTCTCTCCTGGTGACTTAAGAAACCTTCTGGGATGGGGATTTGCTTGGTGGTAAGAGAGAAGCCTGTTCACACTTACAGGATTCCTCTCTGTTAAGGGCATTGCCATAACTGGGTCAGAGGCAATGTGTTAAACACTTGGTCCTCCGCTTGGCAGGTTGTGGGAGCTTTAAGCAGTGGGGTCCTGCAGGAGTTTTGGGTACTGGAGTTGTGGGACCCAGGCTTTCCTCTTCCTTCCTCTTTCCTGCCCCAGCCATGAGTGGGTGCTCTGCTCCGTCAAATGCTCTAGTGGTGACATACTGTGCTGCCGTAGCCAGAAGCAGTGGGCCACCAACCGCAGACTAAACCCTCCAAAACCATAAACCATCTTCCCTTTTTACATTGATCATCTCAAGTATTTTGTACAGTACTGACTGACACAGGCATAAGACATGAGACACATAAATACACACTGGCTTGTTGGGAGGGCTTAATTTGTAATTTATTATATATTTCTGGTAAAAAATGTAAGAAGTTAAGATTAACAATATTCATAAACCCTGTATTGGCACTTTTCAGTCAAAATCTGAGAGTCTTTGATGTTTGGTCTTACTGTGGCTGTCGTTAGGTAGAGTCAAATGAATATTTCCTAATGGTTTACATGTAAAACTATATTATTGAGCTTAACATTTTCAATTTATGGTAATTTTGTTTTCCTTAATACTTTGCACCTTGAGATAAATGTGTTTGAGCATTCACATGAATATTTAGCACTTGTTTTTAGTTGTGCTATATTGTGAGCAATTGTCTTTATGAAGAGTTACAAAAAGCTTGGTCCTTGTCCTCAATGCCAATTCAATAATGAAGACACTGTTTTGAGAAAAAGGAAAAGGAGGGTTGATTGCTTTGCTAGTAAAGGAGAAGCACAGAATCAGAGGTCCTGATTCTGCCCATCAGGGAGAACAGAGGGATTTTAAGGAAGGGATTCATTCCAAGTGTCCCCTGAGTGGGGGTAGGATTCATGTCACAGTTTTGGAGCCAGCCATTCCCTAGATCCTGCCATCCCTGAAATCTGAACTGCTTGGTCCCTGTGGTGGGTGTGTGCTCTGCCTAGGATGGGAAAAAGGTAATCCTGTTTTCCTTCCCCAGCTTAGGCAGGAGGAGAGGGAGAAGAGGAAAAGAAAGCATGTCCATTTAATAACAAGTCTCAATGGCAGCTTAAATAAAAGACTCTAAATTGCACAGCAGATGAGATAATGCATCCGCATCAGAGAGTGTGGTCTGGTGTGCACAAAGAAAGATGGAATGCAAAACATGTGATAGGAAAATACAATGTAAAATACAAATTATGTGGAAAAGTGATGACATTTATAATCCCAAATGGAAATAATTCTTCAGTTAAATACAGATTGCCAAATAGGAGGAGAAATCACAGTTTGGGGTCAATTCTTTGTAAAAAAAAAAAAAAAAGAAAAAAAGTGAAATAAAAAACATATGGAACATTCCAAAGTGAAGATATGGCAGAAAGTACAAAGCGACACCATGAAAATTCCAAACACAAAAAAACAGTGGTGGAGATGGGGCTAAAATAATATCATATAATTGAATAATTTAATCAATAAATGGAATAAAGACAAAATTCAGCATTATAAATAAAATGGCCCATTTATAATGGGACAAGCCTCAAACCAGCACAAAGAAATTGTCATTGTTCTCCGACATACTAAACTGTTTTACTATAGTCCAAAATAGAAAAGTAGAAGCAGAGGAAGGAAGACAAGATAGAGGGGTGAGGGGGAAGAGTGGAAGGAACAGAAGTCCTGTGATCTGATTGGTGAGGAATTCAAACAACTGATAAGGTCAACTGTTCCCATAATTATACTTGTGTAGGCCATCACCCTTATTGGTTTCACTGCTGTAGAACAACATACCAAATACTGGGTGACTTCAACAACAATCATCTAGTGTTCACCTTTGTCAAGGATGAGGATTCCAAGATCAAGGAATGACCTGATTGTTTGTCAGGTCAAGATCTGCTTCCTGATTCACGAATGGACAAGGATCTTCTCGGTGTGCCCCCATATAGCAAGCCCTCTGGACTTTCCAGGGACACTGATAAGAGACACATCCTCATGACCCTATTTCATCCTAACTACCCACCGACATCTCATGCTCTAACAGCATCACATTGAGCGGAGGATTTCAACATATGAACTGGGTGAGGGGGCAAAGACAAGCATTCAGTACATACAAATCATTGTATTAGATTTGAAGAAAATCATTGTTGGAGTCTTATCCCTAAAGACCTCTATGCCCTCTATGCAGCTTGCAGTCCAGGAACTACCAGTATGTCCTGTCGTTGGTTTTTGCCATTGAAGAGATCAACAGGAACCCATATCTCTTACCCAACATATTTCTGGGATATGAGTTCCATAGTGTCCTGCACACTGATCGGTGGACATTGGAGAGCTCTTTAACTTGGCTTACGGGAAGAGTCAAGTACATCCCTAATTACACCTGTAGCAAGGAGAGCAAGTCCGTAGCAGTAATTACAGGACAAACATGGACATCTTCAGCCCAAATTGGAACACTGCTGCACCTCTACAGATTTCCACAGGTGAGGGTGGGAGGGATGGGGAGAGATGAAACCATTATCTATTGGTGCGATTGCCAGGGGAATAAAGAGAGTGACAGGAGAAGACTGAGTTATGCCTGTTATCAGAGTGTATTGTCTCTAAGGCGGTACTCCAGCACTGGAGGGAAATTACATATACGTGGTTTGAAATATACAGGGAGAAGGGGGGAAACATAAAAGGGCTTCCCTGAACATAGAGATGAGTCAGTTCCTTTATAGGATGGTGTGAGCAAGTAGGAGTTGATTAGAACACTGGGACACTTAAAAAGGTTGTACAACACCTGTCAGTTCTGAGAGGGTGCCTGGCGCCATCCTCTTCCTCACATGGCCTCCATGTCCTTCCCTTTCAGCTCACCTTTGGGCCTTTTGAACCCATCTTGAGTGACAATGGCCAGTTTCCTTTTCTCTATCAGATGGCCCCCAAGGACACAACTCTGGCCCTTGCCGTGGTGTCCTTGATGGTTCATTTCAGCTGGAACTGGGTGAGGCTGATCATCTCAGAAGATGAGAAAGGCATTCGATTTCTCTCAGATGTGAGAGGAGAGATGGACAGGAACGGAGTCTGCATGGCCTTTGTGAATATGATCCCAGTCACCATGCTGTTGTATTTCACAAGAGCTCACAAACATTACAACCAGATCATGAAATCCTCGGCATGTGTGGTCATCATTTTTGGTGACACAGAGTCTCTTCTGGCTGTGAGTTTTAATAGATGGGACAATGTAGTCACACAGAGAGTTTGGGTCACCACCTCACAATGGGATGTTACCAATAGTAAGAAACCTTTCATCCTGGACCCATTCCATGGCGCACTCATTTTTTCTCACCACCATGGGGAGATTTCTGGTTTGAAACATTTTATCCAGACAGCGAATCCTGCCAAATACCCAGAGGACACATTCCTTGCTTTGTTGTGGTGGATGCATTTTAACTGCTCAGTCTCAGAGTCTGAGTGTAAAACATTGGAGAGCTGTTCTTCCAAAGGCTCCTTGGCATGGTTACCACGGCACCATTTTGACATGGCCGTGAGTGACGGGAGTTACAACATATACAATGCTGTCTATGCCATGGCCCACACCCTTCACGAGATGCTCCTTCAACAAGTAGACGGGCAACCAATGAAGAATGGGAAAGGCCCAGTGTTCTCCCCCTGGCAGGGAATGTCTCCAATTGGGTGGTGTGAACTTCACCAAGGCGTCATCCTTGAAGGGCTCCACAGGGGCTCCAACCAAGAAGTGCAGGATCCTTTCCACAAACACAGCACTTATGTACTCTTGTCACTGCTAGCAGGTAAATCTGTGCCTGGATGGCAAGCAAGAACCAGATGCCGCTGGCCAGGGGAAAAGGAGCTAGGAATGAAGATCTGTGTTCAGTTAGAGAGCGCCTCAACGTCCTGCCCGCCCACTGCTCTCAACAGGAGAAACCCCCTTCCAGGATGCCCTTCATTGACAAGCAGAGAACTAGCTCCCTAACTGCCTGGAGAACACTGAGCACAGTGGACAGTTTGCAGAAGGGATCTCATGCAATTCTGCACCACTTCAGGCTCTGGTGGCCTGACCTGGCTGACAGGTGCTCTGAGATCGAGGAGAGGAAACGGGTGTGGAATAGCATGCCCACTGACCATGCAGGTGTGCCTGGGTTTGGGCATCTCCTCCTGAGCCTGACCGATACTGTAGAAACACTCTCACCACACCAGTCAGAATTCATACCATGTCCATGTTTTACTCCATCAGGTGCCTGTAATAAAGTTGAATTTTTAGGAAGGGATAAAACAAATGTGCAGAATTCAGTAATCCAGATTTCTTCTTAACTCTGGATCCCTCTCTTATCTTGGTGCTTCTCTTTCAGCTGCACCCCTTTCTGAAGAAATCAAATTTAACAATCCTGCAGGGGACCCAGTGAATGAATCAGAAAGGACAATTGGACAGAGAGTATGACATTCTTAACTTTTGGAATTTTCCGGAAGGCTTTGGACATAAGGTGGAAGTTGGAACGTTTTCCCCTTATTTACCACAGGGTCAACAACTGTCTCTATCTCAGGAAAAGATAGAGTGGGCCACAGGAGATAGACAGGTGGGTTGGACCTGATCATAGTTCTTTGCACTACACTTAGAGAACCAAAAGTGTATGGTGGATCATGTGCCTCTCCATGTGGTTAATAAATGGCCACATCTGGATGTTTTTCGCATCATATTTCACCTTTCATGATTTCCTTAGTGACTTTCTGATGGTTGGGAAATAAACATGTGCATTTGACCATGGGTTTCTAAATGTCCATATGTATCACATTTTCCATGTAGTTGGTCTTTTATCAATTAATTTTGGGTAGGTATATGCAAAGTATATTTATTTATATATTTATTTTGTAGAGAGAGAGAGAGAATTTTTTAATATTTATTTTTTAGTTTTCTGTGGACACGACATCTTTATTTTATTTTTATGTGGTGCTGAGGATCGAACTCAGGGCCCCACCCATGCCAGGGAAGCGCGTTACCACTTGAGCCACATCCCCAGCCCACAAAGTATATTTATTAGTGGTCCAATACTCTAAAGCATTACAGTTATTATGGGACTGGGTCAAAGTCCCCTCTTGCCAACATGTATTTGAATTTCTTAGACTCCCAACTCAGCCTGCAGTATGAGCTGTAGAACTGGATTCAGTAAGTCCCTTCAGGAGGGAAAGCCTGCCTGTTGTTCTGACTGCACTCCCTGCCCAGAGGACGAGATTTCCAACCAGACAGGTGAGTGCATGCCTTAGGAGAAATTCCTGGGATCTCCTATATCCCCCAAACCATGCAAGGAACTTCCAATTGATATGGAAGAGAAATGAGGGACAAAATTCTTCCTTGCTTAAGTTAAAAACTCAGGTGTGATAATCAATAGTACCACCCCATGAAATAATAAACCTCCTGTCCCTTGAACCACGTTCTTTGACTCCGCATTCTAGACCCACCTCACACAGTGTAGTCCCAGGAAATGTCTTTTGACACCGAACAGAAGCCTAAGCCTCATTTCCACCTGTGAATTTAACACATAGTGCTATATGTCTCCACTTTCAGCTTCTTTGAAGGTACATTTGGATCACATTGAAGATGAGGGTCTTACATAGCCTTACTTTCTCAGTACACAGCACTGTTCTTGATGCAGGGCAGGTGCTCAGAAAGGTTGTATTTGAGTTGAGGAGTAAATATTGCTGCAATGTAGAATGGCTATGGTACAGCGTACTCCCAGTAAGTAGCCTGTACTTCCTGCTCTCCCCTAGCTTACCCTGCGTGAGAAACAGCACATAGAGAGGTGAACTCAAGGTATCCGTTACACTGCACTAGATGCAATCACAAAAATTCTAGTGTGTCATGGGCGATGTCATCTACATGCTTTAAGGTTGGCATAGACTTCTTGAAAGTGGTGGTAGTGTCTACTAATGATGATCACTGAGTGTGCACTAAGAATTGGTGGAGTATTAGAAATGGCTAATTACAGGGAGTCACCATTTCATATGATAGCCAGAGAACCTAACAAACATACACAGTGCAACCTCACGTAAAAAGGTGGTTGTGAGTGTTGGGAGAGGATGTGATAAAGGAACACAAGTCTACTTTGAGCTGCTCATATTTGACATTAGATTGTGATACAGGAAAACCAAGTCTAGAGTGGGGATTTTCTACTTTTTGTGACTGATATGTAGCCTAATTTGTAACACATTTCACATTATTTCAGTTGATTTAAAGTATGCTTATTCTGACAACATAGTCCAGTAAATGAGCAGTTTGAGTGAAGGTTCTCTATTGCACAATCGGTGTGTGGTAAGCTATTTTCTGGCTCGTGTGCACAGTTCCCACCAGCTTCAATTCCTATGTGCTTGGGAATTTAAACATACTCTTCTAAACAGACCAGGGGTTATGAAATACCAACTATGTGAGAAAGACTAATCCTCTTTCAAGAAAAATTTCAAAAACCAGACAGAAAGTGGGTCCTCTATAAAGGTCTACCAAGAATTGTTAGTGTCATGAAGATTTAAGTCAAGCTGAAAAGCTGCAGTGTCAACAATGGTTGTCAAAGATGTCAAGAAATAATCTGAACAACCCCATATTTATATCTTAGAAGTGTTTTTTAAATGTTTTACATGAACTATTGTCTAAAAATTCTAACACATTTTTATTGTGGCTAACAACTTCACTGGCGAATGCTATCAAACACTCAAGAAGACACAGTAGCCACTTAGTCAGAAGCCTCAGCAAAGTGAAAATCACAATGGCAACGGGCTGCCACCTCACCCCAGTTAGAGTAGTGTTATCCAAAATAAATAATAGCAAACTCTGGCTAGGATACCGAGAAAGTGACCACTTATCCACTGTTGGCAGAAAGTATGTGAGTACAGCCAGCGTGGAAAACAGGATGGAGTTTTCTCAAAAACCTAAGAAAGAACTACATATGATCCAGCAGCCCCAGACTGAGTACATGCACAAGGAAATAAAATTAGCTTGCTTAAAAGATATTTTTACTCCCATGTTTTGCACTTTTCATGATAGCCATAATATGGAGTCAGACACACATCAACGTGTGAATGGATAATGAAAATATGGTACACGTGCACAGTGAAATATTACTCAGGAAAAAAAGAATAACGAAATCCTGCCTTGGAAGGAAATAGATGTAGAAGGAGGACTTCATGTTACATTAAATAAGCCAGACCCAGAAAAATAAGCATCTCATTTCCTCTCCCATATGTGGAAACCAAAAAAAAAAAAAAAAAAACCAACAACCTTGACCTGAAAATGAAACAGTGACTATTTGAAACTGGGATGGTTACCTGGAGTGAGAGGGGAGAGGATGGAAGAAGGGTGGATGGATCCAGTTCCTGCAGACTGCATGCATATGAGGGAATATCACAGGGAATCCCATTAAAATACACAATTAATATGCACAGACAAAAGCAAGATACACAAAGGAGTAAGGAAATTGAATTTCTTTATGCTAATAGGTTAACTTTTGTTGTCAACACCGAAATGCTCATTAGAAGAAAGGAAACATACAAGCCACTCTCCTTGAACGAAATTCACATATGATTAAAAACGAAAAGAACAGAAAAGCAATCCCACCATATTTTAGAAAGGGACTATATCATGACCAAAACTGGTTTATACAATGTTAAGTAAACAGAGTCCCAGAAAAAGAAACAAATTATAACCAAACACCTGCAAACGGTTAATAAAATGCAGTTCCCATTCCTTTTACACTAAATCCAGAGAAACAACTCTTAGCAGAGGAGTAAGAAAGATGGGTTTAAATCCTACCAAGAGTGTCCCAGAACAGCACAGCAGGCACAGTGCACCTGAGGTCAGGTTGAGGACAAGCACAGGACGAGGACGCGCACCGCCACACCTGCTCGACCCCACACCATGTCCTACCCACGGCTGGCCCCAGAGGACTGAGGCAGAAGGAAGACCATATTGGAAAGGAAGTGACGCACGGTGTTCATTCAGATGATATTGTTGCATGAACAAAAATATCCAAATGAATTAAGGAGTCGGTCATTTATTTTTGTGGGAACCGACTTTCAATTTCCTGGGTGCAAACTGCTTGTTTCTATTACTCGTCTCGTTGTTCTCAAAAAAGAAAATTTAAAAGATATCCACAACATTTAAGCTTGTGAAATATATAGAAATAAGTTTATTGGCAATCTTGAAAGAATGATAAAAATGAAAGAAGACTGAAGGAAGTGGACAAATAAGGCCCGTCCCTGGCTGGAAAGACACAGCAGTAGGAAGGTGGCGGGGCTGGCTATCAGAGCTGGTCTGTGGGTGCCATGCCGTCCACTCCACACCTGCATGTTCTGGGTGCACACTGCAGCTTTGGGCTGGGAGGACTCAGTCCCCGTGAAATCGAGTACTGTCATCTCTAGATGCTTGTGACTTAGCAATTCATTTCCTTCCGATGGTCTAACAAACTTATCCAGACCATATTTGGGGAGAGAGGCAGGTGTTTTATGTCCTCCCAAATCCATATGTTGAAACTTAGCCCTAAGATGATGGTATGAGGATGTAGAGCTTTAGGTGGTGTAGGATCAGGCGGTTTCTACCTTCCTTAATAAGATTAGTGCTACCATAACCAAGGCCTGGGGAGTTTGCACTCACAGCCAGGTGGGGACACAGCAATAGCCACCTTCCTTGCAACAGAGAGAGCCTGTGTCAGACCATGGACAAGAAGCTCTGCCAGCCTGAACTTCCTGGGTTCCAGAAGTGGTAATGGTAAATGTGTGCTTTCATGAACTGTGAGCTCAAAGTTAGTTCATTATTGTATCTTGAACACACTAAGAAGTAGGTATGGCTTTGTTGTTAGATAAGGAAGATGGTGTCATGAACATGCAATGCAAGGTAAGTGGATGAAAGAAACAATAGCTATGTTTTCCAAACCATAAAGAAGATGGGGAGTGCTGACTGGGAATCATTCCTCCCACAGCTCTTTCATTCACTACCCAAAGCAACAAGGAAGGACACTTTGGCTAAGATTGTTCAGTGCTCTACTTTGAGAGGGCCTCAGAGTAAGAGAATTACTGACCCAGGACTGATGACACTCTGCATTTCTCACCAGACATGGACCAGTGTGTGAAGTGTCCAGCTCATCAGTATGCCAACACGGAGCAAACCACCTGTCTCCAAAAGGCTGTGACCTTCCTGGCCTATGAAGACCCCTTGGGCATGGCTCTGGCCTGCACGGCTCTCTGCTTCTCTGCCCTCACGGCTGCTGTCCTTGGGGTCTTTGTGAAGCACAGAGACACCCCCATAGTCAAGGCCAACAACAGGGCTCTCAGCTCCATCCTGCTCATCTCCCTCACCTTCTGTTTTCTCTGCTCTCTGCTCTTCATTGGCCGTCCCGGCACAGCCACCTGCATCCTGCAGGAGCACATTTGGACTGGTGTTCACTGTGGCCGTTTCCACGGTCCTGGCCAAAACTGTCACTGTGATTCTGGCCTTCAAGGTCACTGCCCCAGGGAGAAGGATGAGGCGGTGCCTGGTGTCAGGGGCACCTAACTTCATCATTCCCAGCTGCTCCCTCATCCAGCTGACTCTCTGTGGAGTCTGGCTGGGGACCTCTCCTCCCTTTGTGGACACAGACACACACTCTGACCATGGCTGCATCATCATCACGTGCAACAAGGGCTCAGTCATTGCCTTCTACTGTGCCCTGGGATACCTGGGCTCCCTGGTCCTGGGGACCTTCACGGTGGCCTTCCTGGCCAGGAACCTGCCTGACACCTTCAATGAAGCCAAGTTCCTGACCTTCAGCATGCTGGTGTTCTGCAGTGTCTGGCTCACCTTCCTCCCTGTGTACCACAGCACCAAGGGCAAGGTCATGGTGGCCGTGGAGGTCTTCTCCATCCTGGCCTCCAGCGCAGGGCTCCTGGGCTGCATCTTTGTCCCCAAGTGCTATGTTGTTTTATTAAGGCCACATAGGAGCTCTCTATGTGGGTCCAGAGAGAAAATTCATTGTGGGAGTAACAAGCCTTCTTGAATATTAACTCACATTTGCTAACGTTAACAAGCGGCCTTGAGAAAATTCTACTCAAATCTAAGAGTCTGATTTTAAGTTACAATGTGGGATTTCCTTCAAGGTCAAGAGACTCTCTCCTAATGCTATAGTCACTATGAAATACAGCCGTCAACTTTTCAATTTTTAATCTAACAGCATTTTTTCATTTCCTTCAATTCTTCTCTTACTGCTTAATCGTGTGTAGTATTCACCTGGGTGTAGTATTCACCTTTACGTGTCTCCCACTTGGATTTTTTATATATTGTCTTGATTTGCATCATTGATATCCATAAAAATCCCTTTTCTTCATCTAGCCATAATTACCCAATGATTCAAGAGCATTTATAAAGCCTTCTTTCAGTCTTTCGGTAATTTGAAATGTTCCTTTTTAATACACCAAATTCCTATATGAATATCACCGTGTTTTGGGACCCCTTGATATGTTACATTAATTTAACTCAGGTTTTGTTCATAGAGAAACCATACTATATTGCTAATCAAACTAAATTTGGCCCTAGGGGACCTCCATACAGAGTACTTATCATGATAAACTGCAACCTAGCTTAGTAGTCAGCCTAAGGTAGAGTGTACTGCTTTGTAGTAGTTGGCTGAGCAGCAGCCAATCACAGCAGCCAAGCCCTTGGGGGGTCACTATTCAAACTTCACTGAAAAAAGGCAAATGCATATACTGATATATCTGATTGTTTTGTATAGGAATTTATGATATGGAAAGATTTGTTTTGATAGATGTCTAAATGTACACTGCATTTACCTTGCGTCTACTCTGCCCCTAGAAGCCCACCTTCCCTCACCTTTTGTTAATTGGTGGGTGGGCCTCCACGGCCAAGCACTTACTGGAGTTAGACCTTAGGTCTGTCTTCCAGCCATTCCTCCAGGATTTCTTACCCTCTTACCTCTTACCCTATATCGAACCATTTCCTCATGTTTTCATTGCTTTCTGTGACACCCCCATGTTGCAAAAACATAAAGGCCCTTACAAAGTGCACCTTTTCTCCTGTTCATCCGTCATTTTTAGTTGATTTCTCAGGCCCCCGCCTAGGACACGGGATGGAGGGAAACTTGTTTTCTCCTGTAAATACAAGTGTGAACATAGTAGCCCAGGGTCTGTCTTTGAGAAACCTGTGGACACACAACAATTTGATTTCAGGTGGGCGTTGAAGGAAAACATAGCGTGCAGTATTAGAAGTTTCCTTCTGTTCTCTCCAAGGTGGTTTTTGCAGCTAAGGGGGAAGAGTCTCCCTGTGGTGGGAGAATCACACCAGCGACTTAATTATGAGTTTAGAAAATTGGGTCCTAGGAGCAGGAAGGGCCAGGGTGAAGAGGTAGAAAGAAGAGCATCAGGGCTGCGGATCCGGCTCAGTTGGTAGATGGCTTGCCTCGTATGCACAAGGCCTGGGGTTCAATCCCCAGCACCACAAAAAGAAAGAAAGAAAGAAAGAAAAGAAAAGCATCACCAGCAGCAGAACATCCTAAGCAAAGGCCCTGAGGCTGGGCTCAGCTTTGAAGTGTGTGTGAGGAAGGCAGAGTGGCTGGAACCTACGGAGGGGAGAGAGGATATGAGAAGAGGTAAGTGGGGCCCAGATTTACCCATCATTGTGAATTTTATTCTAAAAGCAAAGGAAGTCATCGGCAAATTGACAACAGAGAGAGTGGAAGTGGTTCTCAAAAATGGCCTCACTCACTGTATTTGGGTTTTAATGGACTTGGGCAAAAAAAAAAAAAAATGTTTGACATAAAATCTCTCTTGAATGAAACCTGATGGCTTTTAGTTTAAAGATTACTAAAACAGGCAATGCTGAAGATTAATTTCAGTAGCATGGTAAATACTATAGACGGGGTGGACATCAGTTGCTCTGGTTGGGATGCGGTTCTTCTCCCAAGGGTTCGTGTCTTGGAGGCGTGGTTCTCAGTGTGGCAGTGTTGAGATGGTGGGACCTCAGGAGGTGGGACCCAGTGGGAGTTTATCACTGGCCCTCCCCTCACTCTGGCCTCCTGTCCTACCATGTGGTCTCTGTCTCTCCCATGCATTCCCACCACTGTGATGGCATCCACCATGAGATGATGTAGCCAAGGGGACCTAGCCAGAGCCAGTGCAATGCTGGTTGGACTTTCACACTCCAGAACTGTTAGGTAAATAAACCTCTTTTCTTTATAAGTACCCAGTTTCAGGTATTTCATTATAGTAACAGAAAACTGACTAAAACATCAGTGGATATATATCCAAAGAATGAGTATAACTAGCTGGATATGCTCAGTAAATGTTCAAAGAATAAGAAACTAGAGAGGCAATAACAACAGAACTGAGTCAAGTCCTCAGAGACATGGTACGTGGGAGCAAGTATATTTTAAAGACAAGGGAGGATGGAAAGCACTTGATTTCAGCAGGAGGCTACAAAAACTGAGCAACCCAGAGTCAGTCTGGTAAAATTATGAAGACAGAAATGACAGGGGCACAGTGGTAGAATGCTTCTGAGTGATGATCTTTACCTGGTTTGGTCAAGTTGCTGACGTAAACACTCTTACCTGTCTTTTGCAAGGTGATACCTGTGTTTTCAACTCTTTAGATTGTCAAGAGAAGAGTACTTGCTTGAAATTTTACCAAAGAACTCTTTTCTTGGATTTTTGATGAAAATAATAGCTGTAGAAAAATGAGTCTGGCTTTAAAAAAAATGCAAGTGAGGACTTTGAAATAAGAAACGCAAAGATATACATATTCGGGTTGTCAAACATGTCATGAACTAAAATTCTTGACATTAAGAACTATATGCCCCTAATATATAACTAATTAGAATAAATAAAATAAAAATTTTTAAAAGAACTTTCTGACCCAATGTTCATGTTAAGTCTTCTATTTTAGGGGAGAAGAGTCAGGGTATAGTGAGTTATTACAAAGATTTTTCTGAATGGGGTTAAAAATTTCATGAAAAAAAAACAGTGTTCACATATTAATTATTGTCACCAGCCAATCTCCCAGAGTGACCCAATAGCTTAGTCATCCTCTCTAAATAACTATTGAAATAACTAACCAAAAATGTCACATAAAGCCTTATCCATTGCTTACTGCAGGTCTTCTCCACGTTGGATGGTATGAGCCATCAGGGAAATAGGTTGCTTTACAAAAGGGAAGTACATTGTGCCCTTGTGGTGAGCAGAACGACCCCCTCAAGTAATGTGCGTGTCCTAGACCCAGGAACTTAGGAATACGGTACCTTCCTTCTGATTCCGTGGCCCCTCAGGAAGCCACTGGGCCCTCTCACAGCCTGGCCTCCAGCAATCATCAAATGTGGAGAAAGGGGAACTGTCCTGAGAACGTCAGCCTCCTTTCTGTCCGTCCCTCTGCTGATGCGCTGAGGGAGTGAGTGGGGACCCCCATCTGGTCCACACTGCAGGTCGTGCGCTAAGAGGTTGCAAAAGTGGATCGCTGGGGCGGGAACTGTGTAGACAGAGAGAGACAGAAACGAGAGGAACGGGAAGGCAGGTGGCCTGTGGAGGAGGGTGACAGAGGGCAGAGGGCACGTGGAGGAGATTAGCCATGCCAATGACCAGCGGCCAGGCCCAAGGAGGGGGCGAGAGGACTGGATGGTTCACATCACCTGCCACCAGGAGACAGTGGCCAGGTCTCCTGCAGGACACTGATGGCGGGAAAAGCCCGGGCAGTGACCAACCCTAATAGTTCCATTATGGGCACAACAGGGGAGAGACCCAGCCACCAGGAGTGACCCAGAAGGAAAAGGCGGGCAAGGGCTGGGAATGTCAGCGAGACGGAATCACCAGCCTGTCCTCTCCCAGGGTGGTTTGTTCCTCCTGCGGGATTCGCGGCCTTTCTTTGCAATGACAGGTGAACTGCTCAGAGCCAGAATAGACGTGGGGGGAAGGACCCTTGGCAAGGTCGTGGTGAAGACGCAGCTGTTGAAGAAGGCAGTCGCCATCGGTGTAAGGGGGACAGACGAACGTGTGCCTGTTCCCTGAACGAGCTCCTCCGATGGGACCTTCACAACTCGTGGAATTGTATCTTTCAAATTAGGCGAAGTTCACACAGAAAATTCAGCCCTTGTAGCTGCACAGCTCGTGGGTGTCAAGCACACTGGCAGGTGTGGCCATCACCGCACCTGTCCCCAGAGCCTTCTCCTCTCCCGCTCTGTCGTCATTAAACACCAACCCCCCACCCCCACCCTCTGCACCCTGCGTCTCTCTGAATCTTCTCACTTTCGATGTTTCAAAGGCTCATGATTTGAAGGTTGAGCCTCATTGCTGGTGGCTCCTAGTGAATCATTCCCTCCACGAAGGACGGTTCTCATGGGTGTGTGGAAATTTGTATTTAAAAACGTTCAGAAACTTGCAGCTGGAAGTGTGGCTCAGCAGCTTTTCCTGTGATGGACCCGACGTGAAGGTGGCTGGCTGGGTTCTTGGGGGCCACAGCTCAGCCCCACGGCTACGGGACGAAAGCAGCCATAGGCGACGGGCATGGCCGTGAGCTTCATGTGGGCCCTGAAATTTAAGTTTAAATGCCACTCACGCCTTACTAAATATTTTTCTTGTGAAGTTGTTTCCTATGATGAGGTCTCAGCCTCCTACTGCACTGGGAGGGACCCCAGCTCACGATAAGCTGTCATAACTGGAGCAGTGGAGTTTGCAGGCTCCAACAGAGGGATGGTTAGGAGACGGAAATGCTAATGACCCCGACTTGGTCAGCACATATCACATACGTGTGTGGAAATATCACACTCAAGTATGTACGGTCTTACATATTAACCAACTTTATAACGTTTAAGGGGGTGGAATGCTGTTACTCTGAACTTATCGTCACACATTGCATACATGTGTAAAAGGTATCGACTGTACCTCAGGAGCACATGCTGTTAAAATGACAATCAAAAAAATCATAAAGCCAGGCATGGTGGTATGCACCTGTCATCCAGCTACTCAGCTGGGTCAGGTGGGTCACTGGAGCCCAGGGATTA